GGGAGTACGTCCGTGGCTAGGTAGAGTTTGTGCCGCCTGGTCCACGATGTTCCTCCGGCGTGGTGACGCCGTTTGTACTTCGCGACGGTGTGAGCTGCGCCACCTGGCTGCGTGGGCGGAGCGCGTGATAACACGCAGGCAAGTCGATGTGTCTGTTGATGGAGTTGGTGTCCGACACCCACGCCTCCAACAGCTCTCGCCCTGTCTTTTTGCCGGCTCGCGCCAATATCCGCGTGTTGGCGAAGTCGAACTCATGCTGGACGCAGGTGAACAGTCGGGAGTAGTCTATCGAATCCCGTGCCAAAACTATCCTTGCCACTACACAGGCCAGACAGGACGACGTCTGAGCTCACGAATACTTGAGCACAAACGGGCCGTTCGGAGAGGCGACCCACTGTCTCAAGTAGCCACTCACACGCTGGTGGAAAGGAATGAGTTCGACTTCGCCAACACGCGGATATTGGCGCGAGCCGGCAACAAGACAGGGCGAGAGCTGTTGGAGGCGTGGGTGTCGGACACCAACTCCATCAACAGACACATCGACTTGCCTGCGTGTTATCACGCGCTCCGCCCACGCAGCCAGGTGGCGCAGCTCACACCGTCGCGAAGTACAAACGGCGTCACCACGCCGGGGGAACATCGTGGACCAGGCGGCGCAAACTCTACCTAGCCACGGACGTACTCCCCCTCTCCCCCCCCCGCCGCAAGGACGAAGGATATAAATGTTCACAATTTGCTGCAATCGAGTAGTCTCTGATGATGAACTCTAGTTCGAGTTCGAAAGCTCAGGCAAATAAACCTACTGTCCCAGTGATCGTGCCTTTGCCTTCTTTTAAAGAGTAGCTACTTTGCTAATACGACCAGTATGCCAATTGGAATATTTTGTTAATGGTACGGCGCAGAGCAACGTCCACGATAAAGGATTGAAGCGGTGTGACCACTTCTCAGCCCTCTGGTCTAAGGTCATGGCAGCTCTACGTTCGGAAGCGAACTCCATGTTTAGAGGAGTAATGGATAAAACACGACCTACTTAAACTAGTATAGTAGACATTCTTCTTATGTCATTGATACTTGGGAGACTTCACCCTATCCTCACCAATACATCGCACAAATTTCCTATCATCTCCGTGGGGAAGTCAATGAATAAAGATCAGACATCTTAGTACACTAACTCGGTGATTTGACGCATTAGAATAATTCGTTTGACCTATTTGCGAATAATTCGGCGGTCTTAGAAGGAGTCGAACCCATGACAGTGTGAGCATGGATTGAGAACAGCTAACACTCTAAACACCTAAGCTTCGAGGCCCCACCGGGAGTCCTAAATTAAATCACGTCCGGGTCAAATCGCCCGTCCAGGCTACTGCAACGTATGGGATCCACCAAATCTGATACAGTACACTGAGTGCCCGTGCAGGATTACATAAGTAATCAATCTTGAACCTAAGAGTCACTTAACCAATTGGTGTTTTGACAGATTTCGATAATTCATTTCACCTGGCTGGGAGAAACTCGGCGGCCTCTGTGGGATTCGGTTTCATGAATGTAAGGGCATGGCTCAAGTACGGTGAACACACTAACCACCTGAACTACGACGTAGATCAAATAAGTTATTCAAGTCTGCCAAAACACCCATTAGCTACGTGAGCCTGGTAGTCATCTGATGGATTCTCTATTAGTTGCCTAGGAAATCCTGCCTACGCAGTCAATTTATTGCGTCAGAAGTGGTCAACGCCATATGTTACAATAAGCTGGACCGGTAACTTGACCCTAATATAATTAAAATTAGGGTTTCCGATGAGGCCAGGTAGCTCAGTTAATTAGATCGTTAACTGTACTCAAGCCATGCTCTGGTTGTCGTGGGTTCGAATCCCGCCGAGACCGCTGAATTTTCCACAACAGAGTTAGACGAATAGCTTATTATATTTACCCATTTACATTGACATTAATTAGTAACTCCATGGATACCGAAATGTCCCGTAGGCTGCTTTGTACTATTTTAGTTCGAATCGGCTTATTTGTTTAGGCCAACTGCTTGGTAACTGTTTGATAAAGCAAACTGGACATGCCTAGTATCGGCCGCGTCGGTAAGCCGTGCTGACGGGGGGCTTTACCAGAGGGCATGAGAGATTCAAATTCTCGTTCATTAATGAAATCTCGTTCTTTAAGGTTCTGAAGACATTTGGTGATCTGGACTTCCATTATCCCATTTTGATTCTTATTTTGCCCCTCTCTTTCCCCTCCTCTTCTGAAACTTTCCTTATCAGGCAGGATTGGCTCGATTTTCGAGATGTTAACGCTGTTATTCATAAGAGCGAAACCAAAACCTTGTCCGGATAAAAATGAGTATTTCTGTATTTTGGAGTAATTATTTGAGCCTTTCAGATTGAGATCTCGCACTATGCTTCATTCTTAGTGGTGTTCTGCTAGGGCTTTGGCAGTGACAATTCATGAACACGGACCTTAAATATTAGGTCACCCCTGACATTGAAGGTACTTTGGTCAATCCCTGCAGTAGCTGACTGGCCCAATCAGACACTAGACTGGGAGTGGGAGGATGGAGTGAGGCCGACACTCTTATCTCATATTCCTCACTATATACTATATGACGCGTTTTTAAAGTATCACACTGCGCTAGAAGCTGCCAGCTGACGGAATAGCTGGGCTCCACTCTCAGAACGAGGAGTCAGACTCCAATGTCTCTATTTTAGTGTGGGCTTTATGGCACGCTCACTCAGAATTCGAGCCGTCCTCATTTTTCTTGATGTGTGAAATCCTGGTCCTTTATGCGCAGACCGTGGATGTCGTGGCACGCCTAGGTGCGGGTTCACGCCGCGCCAGTCACCTGCGCGTGATCTCGACTCCGGACTTCTTGACTCTTGTCTTGGCACCGGGTCTAAGTGAGTAAGGGGGAGACAGTGGGGTACATGCAGCGCAGGTCTACTATCAATATAGAGAAATTGAACTTCTAATTTACAGGTAGTGAGTTCGATCCCCAGGTGTTTCACACTTCGGGGTTGGGTATGGCTGGCTGACGACGGCTAATAAGCCAGAAATGGCCAATCCTGTCTCCCCTGTCTTTGTCGATAATAACGTTCTACTTATATCATGCACCGCTGCGCGGCTGCTGGTTGGGCTCGAGAGAGAGCTCGTAAGGCATAACGGAACGGGTGAGTTCCGTAAGAACGATCGGCGAGAGCCCCTCTACCATCGTATAGACTAACCCACGCACAAGTCGCCCTCTTTACGCCCACCGTGTTGTGGGACATACGGTAGAAATCGTCGAAATCGACACTCGAACTGTCAGGCATCTAGTTGTGCGTCTGACCAAGGTTTTCAGACTGAACCTTCGCCACCAATTTGTTTTATTTCTAATTAGAAAAAGATGGTTGTGATCTAGGAATCAATTGTTAGTCGCAATTAAAATTTGTAAGATTATGTGCATAAATTTACGGGGTATTTGAAAAAGTAGCCTGGGTGTACACCGGATTGACACTGCGTAATACCTTCATTCGTATTGTTTCGGGTAATCTCATGGTCTCGGTCTCAACGTGGCTGCTAAATTGTCCTCCCTTTTCACCAGTTAATTCATCTTATAACGGCAAGCATTGACGGAGATTATGATCTTCGTCATGATACTTCCTAATCGGTACTCAGTACGTCCGTTTAGGGGACTTGATCCCAATATGTCCCCAGTGCAATCACCTCCTCACATTACACATCGGTCTGGTCAGTCACTTTCGAATCCGTCGTACTGAAACTGGGCAACCAGTGTAAGGAGCACAAACATGCACCCCTCACAACCGACACAACTGGTTACAACTGCTTACAGACAGTCATTTACGGCATGAGGCTAATCACCCATATACGTCCTCATGAAAATCTGCGATAAAACACTGCAGACCTAACTCCATCACATACATCTCCTAACTAGCCAATAACAGTTCGACCGTCTCATCCGACGATGGCCACCGTCTGCTCCACAGTAGGGTGAGGCAGGCATGGCGAGAGCAGTGAGAGTAGACTTGCGCAACATCCACGACACTCCCTCCTCCCCCCGTCTGGACCCGATTTCAAGGCAAATTCAAAACGACCGGGGGCGGGAGGAGGCGCTGTTGGCTGGCACGACCGGACCCGCACCTAGGCGCGCCATCACACGTCCCGGTCCACAACAAATACTTAACCAGGATTTTGACAAACAACAACGACAGAAAAGATGTGGATGGCTGGACGGTCATGCACACGACCTGTATACCCAGCGGGAGCGCGAGCGCATCTACCGTCAGAGAACTGCCAGCGCACACCAGGCTGGGAAGGCTACGGTTTGCTGACCATGCCGTAGCAGACGCGTGCAATCCCTAAGACGCATAAGCCAAGACACAACACAAAAATCCATATCACCCACCACAGACACAGAATAGGCACGTAAGTGGGAAGCACACAATATGGCACAACCTGGTGCCTAACCAGGTCAGCGCAATAAGTGTTTTATATCAACTTCTGTGGACATGAATTTGCGTTTGCAGTGTTAATTTTTATGATCATTTGTTTTTGCCCATCTTCGCAGTCCAAACCACGCACGATACGGGGAGTCTATACCAAACCCCCCACGCGATTGCTTATAACTCAGGGAAAGAGATTTAAGATAATGAGGCGGGTCTCGTATGACGGTGGCCCCTGAACCCTTATTAATTTTGTGACTTGTCTCTACATCCCTCCGAGCAGACCGTGATCCCTCTGCGTTCAGGGTCTCCACGCCGGGATCTCAAATTCAAGATGTGGCTTTACAAACTTTCCAGCAACTTTGTCGAAGCAGTCTTCATCGAAGACTGTAAATGCCCGCTTGAAGTTACGACTTTGCCCGCCCTATAACAGTGAAAGACTTTACAGTGCTCGTCATTCAAACCCCCAGATCGCCCCATGTTTCTGCATGTCAGAGTGACATAACGTTTAGGTAGTAGGTGCGTTTTTCAGACACGTTCTTCCGATTTCCGAAATGCAGCATTGTGAAGTTGTTCCAGTTAGACGATAGGAGCCAACTGGAGGGCCACTCGGCCAGTCGACTAAGATTTCATTGAAGTTCGTCTGGTCGACAGCTCTGTGGCTGGCTTTCCAGATTTCGATATCAGCCGTAATCATGACACACCCAGAGTCCAATTTTTGAAGAAGAGGGTCAGTTTCATCACCGAAGTTCTAGGACTCCGCTCTTTATGACTGGGAGCCTTCACTGGTGTTGCTCTACACAAGCAACCTGGGGACGGCCGACGGAAAGTTTTTGGCCCATTTGTGCCGAAACTCACAAAACGCCTATTGAAACCATAGAGTTTATTGACGAGGATAGAAAGCTAGCGAAGGTTGTGGCACTTCTCGGCATCATTAGACAGTTCGACGGCCAATTCCGACGATATCCACAGTGTGCTACATAGGAAGGTGCAGCTGGCACGGTGACTTGCGCGTGAATTAGTTTACAGCGAGAGTAGACAAGCGCAGCATTTGCCGCGCTCCCCCTCCCTGATACCCATCACCTTCAAAGTGTACAGGAGACGCTGATGCATAAAACTATCAAAGGCCTTCCAAAACTCAATGTAGACGCCATGTACAACGTGTTCTGCATCGAGCACCCTTGTCCAGCTTTGCATTATGCAAAGCAAGTTCGTTGCACACGATTTTCTCTTATAAAAGCCGTATGGTGCATTGGACAAGAGGTTGTGGTTTCCCAAACAAGTCATCAATTCCTTCCTGACTGTCCTCTCTACGACTTTGCAGCAGATTGATGTCAGGCTGTCGAGTCTGTGGTCGGTCGCAAATGCACGGCTTCCACCTTTGTGAATCCGAGTAATGTGGGCTGTTTCCCAAACCATGGAAAGAATCCTAGTATCGAACGATTTCTGGAACAAGACAAATAGTGGCTTAGCCAGTCCTCTGGCAGGTCGAAGAGCAGTTTTGCTGGGATCTCATCCGTACCTGAAGACTTGTATTATTTCAAGTTTTGTACTTCTTGCAAAATCGCTTCTTCTAGAAAAAGAGGATCTTCAGCAGTTGACGCTCTCATGTCCTTGTAACTTGGTGGAATGGAGCCTGTTTCTCCCGTGAAAATAAAAGACTGAAAGAACTGTAAAAAGCGCTCAGCTTTGTTTCTACTGTCAGATATCTCGAGGCCCTGATAATTCCTCATAACAGGGGGACCTTGTTTCTGTTACGTGCTCTTTCGTAAGCAGCTGTAAACCGATTTAGGATGTTCAACGGCTCGGTGGAGCAAATTACTGTTGAAGCCCCGTCCTTCTTTGGGAATTAAGCCGTTAACTTTGCTTCTCTGGACTTCGTGCTCTTCAATAGCTGTATTTTCGTTGTTACCGCAAAACTCCTTCCATAGTCCTCCTTTTCTTGCCGACCTGCCTCACTGAACCCGAGGGGATAGCAGACAACCCGCGACTGTTGGCGCGTCGTGATAAATCTAGGCGTATATGATTTACCATAGTGAGGAGTACCCTGACGTGCCATGAGGAGGGATTCCCCAGTGTCGGCTTCATCCTCTCTTCCCTCTTCTAAGCACCAGTGGACTCTCCGAGGCAATCAACCAAAAGGTGCTGGAATTAGGCGTGGCGGCTGACACAGCGTAAAGCGTGTCACACGCATGTATGCTCGCCCACCACCACCACCGCCACCACCGTGGCTGATACTGACACCGCCGACTTCTCATGGCCACACTGCCTCCCGCACATTCACTTCACTCATCGGCCTGGTCGTTGACTTGCGAATCCATCGCCAGGAGACTGGCGAACCAGCGCCGGGAGCACCAACCTACACTTGCCGCATCCGCCTCTATTTTCCACATTGCACTCGCACAGTTATTCACCGCATGGGTCTATTAGGCCACATGCGCGTCCACGAAAACCTGCGGTAGACCACCGCCGGCTGCATCACACCCTCCCCCACCAGCATCTCATCGCACATAAATCTCATCCACCTCAAACTCATAACCGTCATCTCCCACGCAAGTGGGAAGCATGTGTCTCGGCTCCTTCTCTATGCGACCCCCCAGCTGCATGTGTGGTCGGAGTCTGAGACTCCTGCGGTGCGTCGAGCGTCGTGGCCCGGAAGGGAGTGGAATGACGCCCCCAACTCAGTCCACGCAGCCCATCCAGTTGTGTGTGTGTGTCGACCAACTGGGAAGACCTCGCCCGCGATCAACCGACCTGGAGGAGGACAGTGAAGACAGGCGCCTCGATGTCAACAGACATTCCGGACACGGATTGGACTTGTTGGGCACCTTCGGATAAACTGCACCACTCGAACCGCGCCAACCGTCCTCCCTCCGTCCGCCTCTTCCTCGTCCTCTCCGCCACAAACTAACTCTAACCGCTCTTCTGAACCATCACTCGCATCCTCCTCCTCTTCTTTATCCTTCCCTTCCGCTACTCCAACGCCTGCCGTTGTAGCGCCTGCCACGCTCATTAACACTGCACACAGTCCTGATACATCCTCAAACATCAATACCACTGCCATCACATCAGAGGTGAGGACCAGGATTGCACCTGCCCTCACTGCGACCGCACCTTCACCTCACACATCGGGCTGGTCAGTCACTTGCGAATCCATCGCACAACGACTGACGAACCAGTGCCTGGAGCACCCACCCACACCCCCGCACCTGCCTCCACTGTCCACACTGCCCTCGCACTTTCATGCATCACATGACCCTATTCGGCCACATAATAGCCGCGAGAGCGGAATTGACCGCAGCCCCGACACACCCACCACGCCCAGCCTCACCCTCACTTCGTCGCCCTGTGCGTCCACCACCAACACCCCCGTAACCAACACCGACACCACTGACTTCTCATGTCATCACTGTCCACGCACATTCACCTCACGCATTGGCCTGGTCGGTCACTTGCGAGTCCATCGCACAGAGACTGGCGAACCAGTGCCTGAAGCACCCACCGCAACCGCCTTCACTGTCCAAGCACATTCATGCACCGCACGGGTCGATTCGGCCACATGTGCATCCAAGAAAACCTGCGGTAGACAACCGCCGGCTACACCACACCATCAAACCCTGCCTCACTCCCTCAGCACCATCTCATCACACATTAAAATCACCCATCACAAGCACTCAACTGTCACCTCCCAGGCAAGTGGGAAGTGTGCGTCTCCACTCGGTATCCGTGCGGCTCCTGTTGCATGGGTGACTCGAGCCTGGGACCCTCCCGACGCGTCAAGCGTCATAGATAGAAAGATTGCTGATTGACAGCCCAATTCAGTCGACGCAGTCCGTCCAGTTGTGTGTGTGTGTGTGTGTGTGTGTGTGTGTGTGTTGTGTGGAGAGGCGGACTGGTGCGCTGGGGGCCGGGCCGATACAGCTCCTTCCACGGCACTCTCACGCAAGTAAGAGATACGCCGCTCAACCCCCGTTGTGGGAAATCTTGGTAGTTGTGTTTGGGAGGCCAGGTCATGTATGTGGCGCCGCAGACATGGTCACCAGACCATGTCAGCCACCGCGCCCATTCCCCGCTGCGAGCAGCTGACCGGCTCGGACAGGAGCTGAGATGCGAGAGTGGGAAGGGAGAGTAAGATCGACGACTCGATGCATTTCCCTCCTCACTATAAACAATCTGACGCGCTTGAGGCTATCACGGTGCGCTAAAAGCCGTGGCTTGGAAGGTTGCCAACTGCCGGGATAACTTGGACCTCGCAGTCGGCCAGTGCTGTGCGTTTGTGTGGAGTGGTCCGCCGGAGGCCTGAGGGTCAGGCTGCAGTGACTCCTTCTTAATGTGGCCTCTATGGCACTCCCACTGTGTTGGAACCGAGCCGAGCGTCGGCGCACGCCTAGGTGCGGCTTCGGCCGTGTCAGCCTCCAATGTCTGTTGTGTTGGTCAAAGCCTGTTCATTTGTTGTGTTGACCAGGGGGTGTGGTGCAACATCCGTCCGAACCATCCACCTGCGGCCTCCCTCATACCCGGTCTTCTTGACTCCGTCTTGACACCGGACTCAGGTGGGGGAGGAGTGTGGTAGATGCAGCGCAAGTCTACTGGCACTATAAACCCCAGCGCAAGTCACCGTCCCTGCTCCCACCACCTGCTGTGGGGTGTACGATGGACATCGTCGGACATGACGATCGAACGTTCGTTCGTGTGTGTATTTGTGTGGAGTGTCGGACTAGTGGACTGAGAGTCAGGCTGAAGCGGCTCCTTTTCAAGCGATCTGTGACACTCATATATGTGAAGAGCGGGTGTACTCTATGATTAGTATCTTTCAGTCGACGATTCAGTCGAAGACTGTCTGGTTACCTAACCTTGAAGGGTGACGGCACAGGCTATATGCAAGACCCCGTGTCGCCCTTCTAGGTTAAAAGGTCTCTAGGCGTTTGCTATGCCAGTATCGGCAAACCATGGCCCTCGCAGCCTGGTATGCGCCAGCAGTTTCCTGACACCCGGTGCCCTGCCGGTAAATGCGCCTGCAATCTCGCTAGGTACACGGGTAGTGGGCATAACTGCCCAGTCATTCTCGTCGCTCCGTCCTGGGTTGGGATGTTGTTGTTGCTGTTGGCGAAAAATCCTGGTCATTTGCTGCTTGGACCCGGGGGTGTGGTGACACGCCTAGGCGCGGCTCCGGCCGCGCCAGCCACCCGCGCCCTCTGTCCTCCCACCGGTCTCCTTGACTGTCTTGACACCGGGTTCGGGTGGGGAATGGGGAAGAGGGGTGCATTAGATGCTGCGCAAGTCTACCATCACTACAGACTAACCCACGCACAGGTCACCGCCCCCTAATTCGCCTTGCTGTGGAGCACACGGTGGACATCGTCGAAACCGACGGTTGAACTCTCGTGCAAGTAATCATGAGCCCGTAAGTACTCACTGCAGCTCGACAAACAAATGCCCCGAGCCAGTCCGGCCCCCAGTTTTGGTCCAGCGCATCTACAGCGCGGCCCTCCTGGGGATCCAATGGCTCATGGCTCACGTTAGCTTCTTGTCTAAATCCGCGACCATTAACGACATTGCGCAGACCCTGGAATCTACACGTCGACCAGCCTACCCAGCCCATCATCTCCGACACGTCTTTCAAGGAGGGTGGGGGGGGGGAGGGTTGCGAGAGATTGAATGCTCGACGTAGCAAGCGCGAGACCTAGGTCTACGCATGTTGCTAGCACTTACCACTCAGATCGCTTCACTGCCTACCAGAATGCAACTTCGGTTTGACGCCCAACTAATTTATATGTTTTTTTCGCGCCCAAGGACAACCACTGGACACCACACACACGTCTCAGTGGGAACTACCAAGGCCCTGTACTCCCCCCTAAGACACAAGCACTCTGAAGACGGAGAGCTATCAGCAGAGGGCAAATTAGCACAGAATAAACAAACTATAAAGAAGTCCGGTTTCCTTCTAACTTCGAGGCATTTCGTCTGTATTAGCTTTCAAGATCACTGAAGGGAAAGTAAATCTGCCGCCAATGCAATTAGTAGAAGATATAAAGGACATAAAAGAGCCCCACAGGGATCAAAATTGAGCAATAGGAAGCAGACAGGTAAAAAAAAAACATCTCCAAGTCTCAAAATGGTAAGCGGAAGGAGGGGTTTGATGAACTCTGCAAGATAACGAAGTCACCGACAAAATTCGGCACATCAAAATATACGCGACAGGAGTCAAGTTTGCGAAACCTTAGGGGGTTAATGTTCTGGGAGATAAATATTGTGCGAATATCCAGGGTAAACGGACGCAACGCGTCTTTTGGAGAAAAAGGCTGAGCGTTGAGTCGTCGCATCCTCCTTGGCTAGCATTTCGGCGAGAATTCGCGTAAGTGGACTAATCGTCAAGCCTTGTTGGGATGGGGTCGGTTTCATTATTTCCTCAAGTGTTGGAAGGACCTTGGCATCAAAGATACTCGACAGCGGGAACCACTCAGCGGCTTTGATTTCCTATAAGAATGCAAATGATAGACGGAGCTGACGAGACCCGGTACATAAACGCGCAGAAAAAAATGATAATTCATGAGAATGTTGAACAGGATCCTGCGGTTTCAGTACGAGGTGTAGACTTAAAAAAATTACGGTTCGCAATTATTTTTCTTTTAAGCCGTTCGGACCTAAAATTTATGTTGAAGTTGCGCAAGAAAAGAAACTACGATCTGGGCAAAATACTTCCCTTGTTTAATTTCCGATGAAATTAGTGCACGAACTTGGAGTAAATCTTTCGGAACACGCCTTTTGAGGCATGATCCGAAATTCGATATGAATATTTGAGCTGAAGCCCATCAGCTGCCGCGGAATAACCGCGTAATATGCACAAACCGCCAACAGGCAGCCAGTAGTATAGAATTGTGTAATTATTTACCGTACTAACAACACAGGTAATTTCCTCGGAAATTAAACAAGGAAAGTTTAAACTGGAGTTCATATGCCAGAAAACACATGGGGAAAGCTGGGGGACCCACTGATGAGTCGAAGCCCTCGCAGGTGCGTCCGGCAGCGGCATAAGATCGGCGAAACCCGCATGTCTGGGCTTTTAGCTAATGCTTCTGTTGTTAGTACGGTAAATAATTACGGTCAAAACACTGATCTATAGGATCCGACATTTGAACCCAAAGCAATTGCTTCGCGAACAGCCGAAGTTAACAGTTCTTCTCGTCTGTCTATGGACCCACGCTCAAGCATATCTACATCGTTGGAGGCGCTCACAGAACAGGCCACCGCGAGGGTGCGTACGCGCTGCCCAACCATTGTTGGTTTGCATTTCGGTACGGGACGGCTCCTACTAGGTACATCACGGCACGGCGATCGGGAGCCGGAAACGGCCTTTGACTAAAACCTATAAAGCCTTCGTTCTGTGATGCTACCGTCAAAGTTTGGCCAGAAAATCAGACTTACAATTATCAGCCTTCAAGAGGCAGTTAGGCTGCTCACCAACGCCCCTAGATCCGTTCTACGCTGGGTGTTCTGCATGAAGCACGGCTGCATCTACCTTTTTAACAGATGCGACCTAGAGGAACGAGCTGAGTATTATACTTGCGTGAGAGAAGACGCGGATGCGACATAAATGAGTGCAATTTTCTGCTGATTATTGCTGATATGATAATCGGCGAGCCGGGGCAGAAAGAAAGGGGGTTCAAATGAGAGGAGACACAGAACGTACAATAGGGCAGAGTTTCAATTGACTGTCGATCTCTGCGGGGGATCCTGGGAGAGAAAGATGGCACAACGCCAGTATCTCGGCTGTTCCAAAAGTAGAGGGGATATCGTTGCTCTCCCGCACACCCATTAGGGCCCGGAAAGTGGGTTTTAGGCCAGTTTCCTCGTAAACTTCGCGCAAAGTCGCATCAACTACAATCGTGGGGAAGAACAGAGAGTAACGATTAAGACACTGAGACCAAGTTGGAGGTTCACACAGATGACATGGACTAAGCAAGAGCCTTACCGAATGTAGGCACTAGATAAGAACAGAACACTGGCTGCGGAAGATGTGTGCTAGTCTTCCCAACCGTTTGGATGAAGACGTGAGCCTGATCGACGGGGTCATTTCAGGTAAACACTGAGCCAAAAGGACCCCTCTTCTACAAAACCCAAGGGCTTGGGTTGAAACTACGCCGAGAGGGAAAAAGTTTCAGTCACGAGTTCTGATCTTTGTTACACCTTATCCCCACCCAAGGTAGAGAGAAAACAAAAGCAAAGGGCGTAGGCTGAAACTACGACGAGCGAAACAAAGGTGTGACCCCCTTCCCACCCAAGTGAGGTAAAAACAGTTGATTGTCGATGCGACGCGAAAAAAACCCTCATTCATCACTGCTTTCCTTTAGCACTGACTCCGACAAGGGTCTGAACGGGCCAGAGGAATATACGGTAACGGTAGGGTGAAGAATCCCAATTAGATGTCAGTAGAATGTGGATCGTGTGCTGGTGTATGTACTTGCGAAACCTGGTTGAGCACTGATGACTAGCAGTTGTACCCAAGGGGGGGAAACAAAAAGGAGATCAACTGAGCATGAATTTAGGGACAACAGAAGTATCTGCTAGGGGGTGGACTCAGTTGTTCGATGGTCGAGCATTCTTTCAAGATGGAACGCCACGGAATATCCAGCTGGATACCGTATCTGAATACATTCATCACTTTACTCGAAGGTATCGTTTTTGCCATCGACCGCCTTCTGTGTTTTCCTACGTTCTGTCAGTTTACTGTCCGGCATGCTGTCCCACACGTCAAGTCCTCCATTACCTCAATTCCCATTTGACACGATCCACAGTCTACCGACATCTAATTGAGGTCCTTCACCCTGCCGTTGCTAAATATACTTACAGAAGTCACACAGTCTACGTGGGGGGAGTTTAATAAGCGGCGGAAAAAGTCTCATGCGAAGCATAGCGAGCTTTCACATTTTCTTACGAATCCAAAATGAGTGCAACAGTTCGCCACGACTTAGTAGGACTACTTCATGTTTTGGGAATTTACAAATAGCGGAAGCACCTCTGCTTGCTTGGCTCTAATTTGTGCCCCAGACTTATAGTGTTATAACATGTCCGATTACTCAAAAAGGCGGGGAAGTAAGTCTGAGGCGGTAACTGATGAGTGCACGTGCCGAGCCGACCATTGAGCGTCTTTCTGCCAAACGGCTCGTCTAGCTACAGTCACGTGAGAGATGCTCCGAGCTAAAAGCGCCACAGAAAATGCATGCATGTGTTGGCATTTTAATCCCGTCAGAAATTAATACGCCAACTTAGGCCAAGTCCTTCAGAGTGAAGCTTTGTAGGCTCGGCACGAAAATGTATATGTATAATTGGGCTTTCAGCTAGTAGCTGTGCTGACAGTATTATGCGACAGTGTTTCCCTATTGCGCTTCAGTGAAAAGGATTCGCCTACAGCTGATTATCCCCTCGAAAACTGCTTTTTAACCTTTGGTGATTCCGAACCTTCATGGTCTTGGTGATCAATAGCCGGACCAGGATTTTGACCAATAACAACAACAACCGCAGAAAAGACGTGGGTGATTGGACAGTCATGCACACGACCTGTATACCAGCGGGAGCGCAAGCGCATCTACTGCCAGACAACCAGTTGCCAGAGAACTACCAACTCACACCAGGCTGCAAGGGCCATGGTTTGCTGATAGTGGCATAGCACATTACTGGAATTTGTGTGCGTGCTGACCAGCTCCTTTTATTAAACAGGCGAATCTCAGAAAATCATCCTCACCCACATCAAACTGTCCCGACCACCGCTGTTCTGACCTACGGAGGAAAGGGCAGACATGATAGTTCGACCGTCGCATCCGCCGATGTCCACCGTGTGCTCCACAGCAAGGTGAAGCAGACACGGTGACTTGTGTGTGAATTAGTTTGTAGTGAAAGTAGATTAGCGTAGCATCTACCACACTCTCCTCCACACCCACTTGGACCCGGTGTCAAGGTGGAGTTAATAAGACCGGAGGTGGGGAGGACGCAGGCGGATGACGTGGCCGAACCCGCACCTTGGAGCTCCACTCCGCACCCCCTGGCACACAACGAACATTTGACCAGGATTTTGACCAATAACAACAATAACCGCAGAAAAGACGTGGGTGATTGGACAGTCATGCACACGACCTGTGTACCCAGCGGGAGCGCAAGCGCATCTACTGCCAGACAACTAGGTGCCAGAGAACTGCCAATGCACACCAGGCTGCGAGGGCCATGGTTTGCTGATCCTGGCATAGCACACGCTCACAAAGCTTGGGGTCCAGGGCAGACATGATGGGAAAAAAAAGTGACAGAAGTCCGGGCGTTTAACGCTTGTAATCATCGCCCCCCCCCGACCGACGATGGAACCATTACCTCCAATCGCGTAAATGTACAGCTAAGCAAAGACCGTTTCAACTGCCACGAATCGGCTTGGTGGTAAAACGTCCTCCTCATCAACAGACCGAAGCTGTTCAAGATAAAGACATCACAGGGTAATTCAAAACGACTGGGACAGTTAGTCCGGTGAACACGACGCTGACTAATACCACCCCAGCAGGGTAGTAGTGAGTTGCGCGTGAATAAGATTGTTGTGAGGCAGGAGTGAGTGAGGGCGAAACTGGGGGATCCATACGCACAGCAACTTAGCGTCTTCTTCATCATACCAAATATGATGCGCTAGGATCTACCACGATGTGCTTGGAGTCATGGTTCGGAAGGATGCCAGTATTTTAGAGGAACTGGAAAGCCGAGAATCGGACTGCAGTGGCTCCTTCTTAACACGGCCTTGCTGATGTGAAATCCGAGCCGTCCACATTGCTGCCTGGTGCACACGCGATTGGAACAGGATCGTGTGTGGCACGCGTAGACGCACCGGGTAGACCTGTTACCCACTGAGTCCGTGCCCATCCCCGGTCGTCCTAAAACTTCAAGGCAGCATGACTGAGGGGCGTGAGAACGCGGTCGTTACTACGCAGGCCTGTCCCACTAAGAGCCACCGGTGCTGCGTCCGCCCCGTGTGGCACAGGGAGTAGACGTCGTTTCTCACGACGGTCGAACTGTCAGTGAGGATAACTTGTGAAGCATCGACCTTACTCATTTCTCTCATATCCATCATTTTTTCAACATCAAGACTGGGTCGGCGCGATCTACAGTGCGCACGGCAACTGACCAGGTCCAAAGATCCAGTCCACACAAGGCACAGCCCGACTTGTGTTTAATCCACAACCGAACCGGTCTCAGCAGACACAAAGCCACCGTCGGTGCAGACGGGCCGGTTACCCCAATCTGCTTCATTCGCCCTCTTCAAAGCGGCTACCGGAGTTGACTGTCGTGCCAGGCTAGAAATGAAAACTAGACGTCGGGGGGCGGGGTCAGCGAAGCTAGGAGATAGCCGCGTCTCCAATGACTTTAAAACTCTGCTAATCATACGCGGCCAGCCAAAACCTAACGGACGGAACAAATATGGTTTGAGTACTGTAAGTCTTTTGAGTATGATAAAGACCCGTTGTCAGGCTGTCACCCCTGGTTTGTCACTGTAAATTCTTACTTTTACTTTTATGGATCTATCAGTCGCGGCTTTGAGTTCACACTGGACATCACACGAACATAGTTCTAGAGATTTCGGTCCTTTGACCTCCACAAAATGTAATGCGTTAACTTGGAGTAAGTCATTCGAAATGAAGCTTAGTCGGTGCGTTAATATGAGTATTTGAGCCAAAATCCGCCAGCTTAAGTTCTAAAGACCCTCACTTCCGGTAGAAAGCAAGTGTTTGAAACTCCCCGCCTTTTACATTCCGCTGCAAGATTAGGTTAATCCTGTCTGTCAACAGTGACTGACCATAGTTAAAGCGATTTCATCCACCTGTCTATATGACACACTCCGTCTTCTGCGCTCATGATCGATCGATCGACCGAGTCGGAAGCTTGGAAATTCGGTCGTTGTTACCGACGATGTCTACCGTATGTTCCCCCCCCCCCACAGAATGGTGGGCGTAGGGACGACGGCTTCTCATACGCAGATGACTGGCGCAGCGTGAGCCGGCGCCTAGGCGTGCCACAAAACTCTCCCCTCCCCACGTATGACAATTGTCATGGGTGCGTCACCCAGTAACGCGTGCCGGATCCTGATCTGGTTCCCGTGGCCCGTCGGGACCAGCACTTTAGTCGGCTGTACGCTCACGTTCGAAGAAGAAGCATGGCAGCCGCAGTGCAATTACAGTAGCGATTTCCCATGCCTGCCCGCGGGCGTCTGAAGAAAGAACTAATTTCAACGAGGAGTGCATGCAAAAAGGTGGGAAAGGGCAATCCTGCAAAGACAGACACTTTGTCAGACATGAGTGAAGTAAGAAAAACTACTAGATGCCCTACCGATGCTTTCACCGAACTCTGCTCTCCCCGAGGGAAACTTCCAAAGTCCGGCCTGCAAAAATATGCGTCAGAAGTAAAAGTGCATACAAGCCTCGGGTTGGTCTCTTGCACCAACAGCACATGCCCGTCGTGCGTCCGCGATATCACGGCTGAAAGGGAAGAGAGTGAAAAATTAAATGACATGTTCAAGGCAGAGCGCAGACATTTTAAAAAGGTGTCATTTCAAATTCACAGGGTTTGAAAGACCTTGGGCGCTGTTTTCTCCGTTTACTGTAGACCATATAACGTAATAATTCGGTAATGATGACTTCAATTTCTCGGTGCTTGTGATAACGACTCGATGGAGGCTAGATGAAAGTGCTATTTCAGCTAAACAGACAGTCGTTGCATTATTTACAATACTGGCCGCGGAGGTACTAACTAAAGGCGCAGACACGTATTTCACCGATATTGTGCCGCAGCAATACACAGCTGTGAGGGTTAAGGCTCAGCAATGGACCTCCCAGTTCTCCCAGGATGCTTTGCGATTTCGAGATCTCAGTTTTTCAATCTCCTCAGGAGTAAATTACTACCTATGAGTAAATAGGTCGGAACGGTCCTTATAGGCCCAGTTCGAAAGTTGATATGAATATTTGAGCTGAAATCCATCAGTTACAGGAGGCAAACCGCGTTATGTTCGCGAACAGCAAACGGGCAGTCAGTAGTACAGTGAGTGACCTATCGCATGAAATGTTGACTGAAATTCTGAAACGTGTTTTCTATTAGGAAGGATTACTTAGGCGCGGTTGTAATAGTAATTATCTTGCGACATAATCCTATAGTATTTTGGACTCGGCAGGATGTCGGCTTTTGAACACATTGCTTTTTAATCTCCTGTAAAAAACGTACTCGGTAAAAAAATGGCTGCTTAAGTAGCATGCATTTTTCTCATTGATTTTCGATGGTCTTGCAAATTCAAATATAACTTATGGAAATCGAAAACAAACATACGCTTTCTTTCAGTCAATGAATAGAGAATCACGTCTTCTTTATATTTTGTATTCAAGGAAGGAGTATAATTAGGTTTTAAGAAAGTTTCTAACAATGAGATTTTTTAAGACCGCGCAATGTCCATTCACATAGCATCGTACCTGGCCGTTTATGACAGATCCTCGTGAAATGTTCAACATAGTCTGGATCCATTGCAAATTTTTTTAACTCTATGCGGTATCTTCCTGATGGCACAGAGGAATATGTGATTTTCTTTACGAACAAAGCATGCACCTTGTAAACTGAAATCGCTCAACGCTAATGCAATGGCGGATCTGGCTCAAAATTATTCGGGAATTGGAAAACTTTTTTAAAACCTAATTTTACTCCTTCCTTGAATGCAAAATATAAAGAAAACGTGATTCTCTATTAATTGACTGAAAGAAAGCGTATTTTTGTTTTCGATTTCCATAAGTTATATTTGAATTTGCAAGACCATCGAAAATCAATGGGAAAATGCATGCTACTTAAGTAGTCATTTTTTTACCGAGTACGTTTTTTACAGGAGATTAAAAAGCAGTGTGTTTGAAAGCCGACATCCTGCCGAGTCCAAAATACTAAAGAATTATGCCGCAATATAATTAGTCTTACAACCGCGCCTAAGTAATCCTTCCTAATCGAAAACACGTTTCAGAATTTCAGTCAACATTTCATGAGATAGGTCACTCACTGCATACACATGCTACATGATTTACCATACTGACAGCCCAAGTTCTAGCTAAAGGCTAGGAAGTAACTGGTTCGACTCTGACAGTCTATATTTTTGTGGAATTTGAAGAGTAACTGACAACGCCTTTTTGAAAAAACCCCCTACCGTCTACACATCGCTGGGTTAAAAAGTTGCCGTACATGATGAATGAATGATCACTACACAAACATAATCGGACATTTATAGGGAAACTGGCGCATAATGACTCATGAACGCCCCGAAACAGAAGTGCGACAGGGAATGTCAGGAGTCAAGGAGCTCATGAGCATCGATCCAACGCAGTTCCTACAACCTATCTGATAGACCTTGTCTGTGGGACACTTACATTGTGTGTCTGCGCGTGTCTGTACTTGCGGTCTCATGTGGTGTGTGCCCCCGAACGGGCCACATAGATGTGCTGGACCAACATGGGGGCCATATCGGATTCTGACAGGCGTTAACGGAATGAGCACCATAACAAATGCCAACATTTCGGGGTGCGGTGGCAGACCCGGTTGCCAGCAGAAGTTGCGCAAATTAGGAACCCTGCGGCCCTCCCCATTGTTGTCGTTGGTTAAAACCCTGGCCATCTGCTGTGTGGACCAGGGGGTGTACAGTGGAGCGCCAAGGCGTGGACTCGACCGTGCCATCGACCTGCGCCCTCCCTCGCCTCCGGTCTTCTTGACTCTATCTCGACACTGGGCCCAGGTGAGAAGAAGGAGAGAGTGCGGCAGAGGTTGTGCAAGTCTACTGCCACTACAAACTAATCCAAGCATAAGTCGCCCTCTCTGCGTCACCTTGCTGTGGAGCACACGGTGGACATCGCCGAAAACGACGGTCGAACTATCGCGGTCTTAAGTGGTGGTAAGAGTTATGATTGGATGAGCGGATGAAGAATATGTCGGAAACGGGACTGAATCGATCTGCCCTCATCTTTGTCCACAACCCCTCTGTATTGACAGTTTGGTAAACCTCGATCTCGTAGATGGTTGTCATGTCATGGCGTCAGAGCCTGTTTGCTTCGGGAAGCCGGTGGATCGGTGTGCCTCCATACCTGTATGAATGAATGCCTGCTTCGCAGCGACAAGGAGTGCCAGCTGGCGAGGCAGTGATGAATTTCGGCTTGAAGTGTTTAGACCCTACGCACTGCATGCGTGAGTATGTCTGTGCTTCTGGCCCGAGATGGCTGTCAGAATTATGATTGGCTGGCATACAGTCATTCCACTTGAAGAGCTATAGAGATATCACCCGCAGAACTGACTCTCGAAGGTCGTTCATTGCACATGCTGTGCAAAATCAGACCGACAATTAGACTTCGAAATTTTCCTGCGAAATTTCATCGAATGTCCACGAAGATGAAGCGGAAGCCGTCACTGGAACATATCATCAAAACGCATTCCTTGTTCGAGGCCGCGCATTACCTTATATACTATACAAAGGTCACTCCTCCGATGTCTGTTACATCCACGGAACACTTTAAGGCATTCCAGCCTTTGTAGGTAGGGTCGACGTTCTCTAACTTGCACTGTCTTTGTCACTTAACGCTGCACCTTCTCACGATACAGTTTGTCCTTTGCCAGTAACACTCTCCACACTTGCATATCATATTGTGAGTGGGGACAAATGACCCCCAAAGGTGGCCTCGCTGTAGATGCACTGGATCGAAACAGGGTCAATTTGGCTCGCAGCACGCGCTAATCGGGTTGTGCAGGGCCCGCGCATACTCAGGACTACTGCCGCACACGGGACGCATTGTGGCACGCCTAAACGTAGGCTTCACGCCGCGCTGGCCACTGCGTCCAGCCCCAGCGCCCACTGATTGAGATGCTGGGGCAGGGGGGGGAGGACAGGCTAACGGAGGGAAGTGAGCGATGCCGACACCGGAGAACCCATCCCCACGGCAAATCAGCGCATTCCTGACCATAATAAATCAGATGCATTTAAATATATCAAGCACTAAAAGCCGCGACTTCCAGGGCCGCCAAATGGCGGAACAATTCGGTCCTTCACAGAACTGACAGTCAGACTAAATGGCTCCTTCTGAATGTGACTTTCATGGTCCTCAAACGCATACGAGATCCGAGCAGTCTTGGTAAAAGCCTGGTACATTTCCCGGGGACAAGGGCCTGCGTGACATATGTGGACGAGCCTTGTCAGCCGCTGCGCCTGCACTGTCTCAGTCGTCCTAATGGTGGCTTTCAATTAGTTTCAAGTGGGCGAGGGAGAAGACAGGAAAGTAGATGCTTCGCAAGTCCGCATAACTATAAACTAACTCACGCGCAAGTACCCGTCCTACACCCACTCCGTGAGGTACATGGAGGACCTCGTCGTACGTGATCGTCTAACTGTCGGGAATGAACGAAGGCACCGTAAACTTTACCAAAGGGGTGTTCATCGAGAGTTAAAAACGTCCTTTCTGATAGACTGCAGCACTTCCACGGTATTTTTCGCAGTTCTGACGCATTGAATCGGTGGTTTAAGGTTGTTCTGTATCCAAATACAAAAGTCCCTTTGTAAAAGCCTCAAAAGCAGTTGAGTGGCTTTCAGAAGATATGACAGTTCAACCGTCGATTTCGACGAAAACCGCCGTGTGTTAACAGCAAGGTGCAACAGGCATGGTGAATTGCGCGCAAATTAGTGTATACTGATAGTAGACTTGCGCAGCATCTACCGCACTCTCTCTTCCCCACTCTCCACCTGAGCCCGGTGTCAAGACAGAGGCAAGAAGACTGGAGGTGGGGTGAGGGCGCAGGTGACTGGCAGGGCCGGATCCGGACCTAGGCGTGCCACCACACCCCCTGGTCCACAACATACACTTGACCCGGATTTCTCATCAATACCAACAACACCCCAATAGGAATTAGAAGAACGAGGATGATGACTGGGCAGCCATGCCCACCACTTGTATACCCAGCGGGAGCGCAAGCGCATCTACCGGCAGAGGACCAGGTGTCAGGGAACCGCCAGCGCATACAAGACTGCGCGGATGCCGGATGGAACAATTAGTAGAAGCGTATTTCGCAAGAAAATACGGACAGGACAATAAACAAATTTCCACACTTTTGTCCCACTACGCCAGAAACGAAGCTTGGTGCGCTGCATCACCAACCGAGCTAGGAGAATAGGCACTCCAGATAGGCTTGAGAATGAACTCGCCATTATACGGAACACTCGGAGATAAAACTGCTACCCCGAAAAGTTTATCAACAAATAAAGGGAAGAACGACCTCCAAAATCTGATGTGCTGACGGTTAAGAAGGAATTATTTTTCCCAATGTCATTTCGAGGGGATCCGGCGAGCGAACTCCTACATCGTCACTTAAAATCTGCTATCGCGTGCACGTACCCAGCCGCTAGGATAAGATTGGCTTTCACAGGCACACCATTTCTTCGCCTTGAAGGCAGGGACAGACTGCCCTTTCAGACCTCTTCAATGTGCATCTACGCCTGCACTTGCCCCTGTGGGGCAGGTCGAACAATTAGACGTCTGCGTAAGCGGATGCGAGAGCATCATCCTGACTGGCTAAATCACGGTGGGGAAAGGTCCATCTCTAACGCAATTGTGGATCACTTGGTTGACAGCGGCCACCGGGTAGACGTCAACCAAGCATTCCGAGTCCTCTACAAAGCGTCGGCGAGACACTCCAAGTTCCTGCGTCAGCGAATACTTGCGACGGCTGAAGCAGTAGCCATATGGTTAGCCAACCCAGCTCTGTGCTCGCATAAAACGTTTGTACGGGCTAAGGCTAATCATACGTATTCCCACCTGCCACGTCGCGGTTGGGCGACGAAACACGGACAGTTAATCGCCAGACACCTCCCCCCCTCTCCCCCTCCCTAAATCCCAGAGAAAACTAGAATCTGACCACTGAGTTCTGAACGCCCTTCAACCCCCTTCCCCTATATTGTCTTTTATTGGATGTTCGACTTTTGCTATTCTACCCTCCCTTATATTACTGTACAGGTCTAATGGCGAATAATCGAAAGCGTACGTTTGTCGGACTTGACTTCTTAGATTTAACAGCAACGCAAACGGCAAGTTTAAGGATCTACTCACAAGCGCTACAAAAAATATGGACAAATCATAGCTGTGGGCTGTTTTGCAGGTATTTTAACAGAAATAATCACAGTCTCGGGGATAGAGATGAAAGGAAAGGGTGAGAGTGGGAAACTCACCCGTAATCGCAACTTGGTGAGTGGCAAAGGCGGGGATACGATCCTCACCGGGACCCAGCCAACGATAGAGAGAAAGTGATTGCTGTCTTGCGTGATGAAGCTGGAAGCCCTGTCCGTCAGGAGGTGGGGCACAGAGGCCGGGCAACAGGCCACATTGACTTGGCAACAAGTGCAACCACACAGCATTACATCTACGGGGAACTTCATTGCACGCCGCTGAAAGTTGCTCTACAGGAGAGGAGTAATGAGAGGATGTCGCAAAACTTTCATAAAACCCATTATTTTCGACTGCCAGTTGGAGCAGTTTGCCTGCACAGCGGGGGTCGCTGAAAGGTCGAAATGCAGGCAGTTGTGCCTGTCCATAAAAGGGATGACTGAGGTGGAATGCCTGGCATAGATTTTCCCGGGCAAAAGAAGACACCGAGAGATTCGCATTGATTGGAAGAGTTGGTACTGCAACCGGAAATTTAAAAGTATGTGACATAGCAAGCTAACAGAGCATCCGGCTAGGCAGCGACTAACGCTACCCAAAATAAGAAATCGAACATCATAAGACAGGCATGTTGTATATGCCTCGCAAATGAAAGTTTGTTTAAAAAAAGGCGGGCAACAAGTAATCCAGGTACATGAACCTCATGTGGACAAAGCTCTTCGACGACAGTTTTTTCTAAGAGCACAAAACAGGAGACTTGCAAATGACGCCTCTGCGACTTAGTGCCGTGCCGAAAAAATCGTCTCCTAGAAAAATCCAGTGGTTCGCCCTAGATGATGCCCATAGTGGCCATATAAGGAGGCCTAGGTTGTCTCTGTTCTCCTTCTACCTCAACCGACCGCTCAGGGCCCAAGTGGAAACACACAGGACTAGGCTAAAAGCATACTCGTTGTTTTGTAGCGGTTGCAATTGGTGGTGTTTCTCAAAAATTCTGGCCGAAACTTAAGGCTTAGCAACCATGGGGTGTCTTTGTTGTCAGCCAGTGTTCAACGAGCATCTAAAAATCACTTTTTCGGGGGGTTTGCATCAGGTGGATGAAGAAAACATTAAGCTAGTCTTGCAACAGGCTTCGAAGGTTCCCGACCGCCTTCTGGTGGTAACAGAGTCGAAAGTGCACGCAAGTCTAAAGCAGGCATTTGTCGATTGGCCGTGAAAAACACATCGAATGACGGCGGTGACCGGCGCGTTCGCCAAGCTTCCATAGTAATCATGATTTACCAGTCGCCGCCCATGGGGTTGCACCGCAAGCACAGCCAATAACAAGGTCAGTATGTCAGTGCTTCTGAGGATGCGTTAGAGAACGAATAGAAAAATAGGGCAAATAAGGCAGGGGTTTCAGCTTCTTCTTAGTAAACAAAAGAACTCCCCCCCCCTCCCCGAGAAACGGAGAGTCGTTCTCGGTGATCTCCCCTCCTACTTATAGGCTACCTGGAGATCGCATTTTCCCTACTATCGACGAGAACCTGATCTCTCCGTTTGTATCCACATATCGCATTCACATAAGTACACCGATTGAGGTCGATTCAGGGAATAATAAGAGAAACAATACCGATCGATTCCACATTATCTCAACATTCCGATAACAGGGCGACGACTTAGTATCATCTTATTATAAGGAGCAACAAGATAGTCGGGGTTTACGCAATAAATGTAATGCATCTCCCAACCGTCTTACTGACCTGACACCGATTCCGTCAATGTACTTGTACTTGGTACGGCTGCGATCATGCCTGATCTCGCCAGCCTTGATGGTGTCCCAAACTGTACCTCTCCACGCGTGACGGTCCGCGGCAGCAGATCTAGACAAATCAACCCATTGTCTTCGCCAACGACGAAAACCGAATACCGAAGGTCCATAAACCACCTCTATGTCTTGACGAACTGTGTCGAGCCAGGTTTTGAGTTGACCCCCTGTTCTACGCCTCCAATAGGGTGACGGTGCCGGATCGAATGCAGTAACACTGACCTCCTGAGGTGGACGACGAAGAACATGCCCGAACCACTTCAGTCGTCTTTTTTGGATGGTCTGAGTTATCCTTGCGATGTCGTCGCAGCGAGCGCGGACTGTCTCATTTGAGACTAAGTCGGTGAACTTCACTCGAAGGATGGTTCTGAAGCAGTGGTTGTCAAATACCTCCAGTTTTTGCTCATCCTTCACGCGCACAGTCCAGCATTCACAACCGCACAGAAGGACAGGCCGGACAGATGTACGATACACATGAATCTTGGTGGCTATGGAGATGTCGCGTCGGATCCATAGGCATTTCCGAAGGCTTGAGAAAACCCGGCGGGCAGAACCAATTCGAAAGACAATGTCGTCCTTACTCTGTCCATTCGGCAGCAGCCTCGCCCCGAGGTATTTAAAACTGTCTACTTCTTCAATTTGACAGTCATTAATCCCGACAGGTGCCTTCTCCTGGTCAGGGATGCAGTTTAAAAACACTTTAGGATTCCCAGCGTTTATGGATAAACCGACGGAACTGGCGACCTCGTTCACCCGTGACACCATAGACCGCAAATCATCAAAACTTGAAGCAAGTAAGGCGATATCATCGGCATAGTCAAGATCAGTCAGTCAGTGTCCGGGTGCAAACGCAACACCGTCACCTTCGTGTAGAGCCCTCCTGAGAATCCAGTCAATAGCGCGGTTGAACAGAATGGGCGACAGAATACAAACCTATCGATCGCCAGACCGAATACTGAACGATTGGGAAAGATTGTAGTGGGCCAGAACTCGAGCAGTGGTGGCGCGATTGAAGGCTTGGATCATGGCGATAATTTTTAGTGGTACATCATTTAGTGCTATGATGGACGGAAATCGATGGACGATGGACGGAATCGAACGCGGTGGCAAAGTCAACAAGGTTGACGGCGGTCGGTTGCTAGTAGCTATGGCGGAACTCGAGAATGCGCCTTAGCACGAAATCCGGCTTAGCTGGGTCTCGTCCTAGAGTCATGCACAGCCCGGAATCGCCTGAGAAGGACAACAGTGAAGATCCCCGCAGCAAGGTCGATGCAGTTTATGCTGCGGTAGTTCTCGCATCTTGTCTTATCTCCCTTCTCGAATAAAGGTACATTGATACATGAGCCCCAGTCACCAGTGTAAACGGTCTCACCGCTCTTTGGTTCAGATTCCTATCCTTCCCACTAAACCCATCATCTAGCAAATGGCTGGAAAACTCGGGACTCGGAAAGGTACTGGCATCACGAACATCGGCCAATAATGAACAAAATTTTGTACAATCCAAAACAGACGAAACATTTCATGACTGTTAATAGTGATAAATAGTAAACCAAACTGCGCAGACTTCGTGACAAAAGCGTATTATCAGGCACTGCCAAAACGATAATGTAGACAATTAGGATAATTATAAAGTTGGCCACGCGGGGAGCGCACAGGTGAACACTTTTCCCAACACCAGGGTCGGTGCGTCAGATGGTCGAGCAATCATCACACCAACATCCAGCGCACGTAATGAGATTGCAGGACTTAACGACGCAAATGTCGGCCATCAGTCATCACACCACGTGCAACGATCCCTGATGAAGGGGGGAGCCGTGAACATTCCTAGGTATGCGGTGGCATGGCAACTGCATCCTGTGAATACCGCAACCCCCTGTGCATGAACCAGGATGCCAACATTAACTCCCTAATTGCAAAGAAGAACGATTCTAGGTTAGAGCCTCGTCCTCCAATTGCTGCTGGGAGTTGACTGCTTGCCAGATTCCCTCGCGATCGTGTCATTAAAGGCGCAAATCCGTGCGCGCATGCTTATTGGCAAACGGAACGGGCAATACGCCTGCATTCGCGTACGCTTCTGTACGTCACTTCCTACTCCTCCACGTTGCCCCTCGCACGCAATATCTCCCTTGACGTTGCTCTTCTCCTTGTCCCTGTACGTCAACACTTTATGCTACTTTTAGTAAGCAGACGAAAGCGAACATTTCAGAGGCGTGTTGATCGTGCAGTTAATGAATGGTTAATTTAAATTGCCCAAAATGTGAGGAAAATGTATCCACCCGACTTAACGTCATCGTCGTGAGGTGGTTTCTCTTCGCAGTTTGTCAACCGACACTGGCATTTCCTCCTATGCCGAAGAGGCTGATTTCGTGGCTGTGGCAGCGAACACAGGTACGACTCCATCAGAGTGGCCAGTCGCAGTCGACCCAGTAAGTTACTCCGCATTCAGAACGTAGTATGCTATCCATATGGGGACGTAGAATTACTGCGTGTTGAGCACGAGAATATTGAAGACTACTTTGATTAGCCTGCTAACTCATCAAATGTTAAAGTTTTTTAAAGCTAGGGCGAGGACCGTAGTCAACACTTGGCCATTGCCGCCATTTGTAGACAAATACGTCTGCTTCTACGTAGACAATCACTTCATCCTAACTGAAATCAACGGACATTGGGAAAGATAACTGGCAGCAATGACTGCTCGTGTAGTTCGCCGTCCAAAACCGAAGAAATTTTTGGATTCTTGATGACTGCGCCGGACGGTACCTTTTCCTCACATTCTCGCATAGTGCTTGTGGTCTCAAAGTACCTCTCACAGTTCATCGGTCACTGTCACGAAATCTACAACCAAACAGTACCACAGCTATCGTTTTTCAGACAGTGAGGGTGGCAGCGGATAACTATATACTCACCTAACCCCCCTTTTCCCTTGTGATTGTGGAGAATTACGCCCGAAGATAAAATGCAAAATAACATGCAAAGTCCTAAACATGCTACTTGTCCTCAAGACGTTGTACTTGGCTACCTTCGGTGAGGACACAACAAGTGTATTTGTTGATGCATTGGCTGATATCAACCACTAAACAGGCTTAACAAGGTACAAAATATGTTCAAATGCATTATATTAGACCACAGGTCAAAGACCGTTATAAGACTGCGATTAGCTGCCAAGTTCAATATTCGGGGATGCACTCATCGCTTTATCAGCCATTCATTTATTATTTTGCACAACCTTCGCTTAAGAACAAAGCGAAACGCCAAAATAATTAAAAAGGGACGTCTCCGCACAAACACACTATATTCAAATACGTACATCCGAAAAAAATCGCTTTCCAATTGGTTGTAGAGCATTCTAACACCGCAAAGGAACGCTTGCGTATACTTCGTCTGACTATGCAGACCGGCCTCCAAAGGCAACCAACTTCAGCAAGCGAACGGTTACGTTCGCACTCTTTAGAAAACACATCGTAATCCATCAGAAAACTTAAATATAAAGCGCGAATTTATCGACAAAGACAAGAGAAGTGGCAATGGGGAAAAGTATTACCCGATAACTATAAAACTAACGGGATTGTAAATACGTGGGAGTAGGAGGTAAAAGTGTCGTTTAGGATATTGTCGATTCTGTAGAATGTCTCGTTGTGTGTGTAGTCAAAGAGTTCAACAAAGCGTCTACGTAGGCCAAAAGAGATTTAAAAAAATAAT